GACCCCCCCCCCTGTACACGCCCCTGCCATCGCGCAGCGCGTGAGATCGTGTACTTTCTTCGTCACTCAATAGCGTACCGTTACATTTAAACTAGACACTAGACTTTAACAACCGCCCGTCTTAGAATTATATTAAAATAAAAACACGTGATGAAAAAATGAAATCAATAAAAAAATGTAATAAGAAAAATGCAAATTTGTTGTCGTATTGGTTATATCAAGGATTGGCCTATTCACCTTGTGACACTGTTGACTGACCAGAAAAGCAGGTTTTAGCACATCAGTGCTATGATAGGACACTCTATAAAACGATGCTCACTGACAAAGTGTCGAAAAGTTGACTGTTTGAGGTGCGCGCGTGTGAAAACTCGTACGAACTGTTTTAGCTTCACCGACCTAGCGACAGCATCCTATAGGCTACCGTGTTTCTATTAGCTAGCGGTCGTCGCGCTACGGGTGCATACCGGGGAACTGGGGTCCGAGTTGTCCGTCTATGTAGGTGTCGCTGTGCGTGAGGGCGTCGAAACACTCGGCGGAGGCCTCCTTCAACCACGTTGTTGCGGCTTTAGGACACGGATGGATGTCCAGCTTCTTGCTGGCTCCGACGAACGACAGGCCGATGCAAGCAATGCCTGCAGGACGGAGGACATCGTACGTACACATAGTAAGGTAATGTAAAGGTAAGGTAAACTAAGGTAAGGCAAGGTAAAGTAATGTGTAGTAAGGTAAAATAAGGTAAAGTAAAGGTAAGTAATGTAAAGGTAAGGTAAAGTAAAACAAGGCAAGGTAAATTAAGTTAAGTTCATGTATGGTAAAGTAAGATGAGGTAAAGTTAAGTTAGGTTAGGTAAGGCAATGTAAAGTTAAGTAAAGTAAGTAAAATAAGGTAAAGTAAAGTAAAATAAAGTAAAGAAAAGTAAAGTAAAATAAAGTAAAGAAAAGTAAAGTAAAATAAGGTAAAGTAAAGTAAAGAAAAGTAAAGTAAATTAAAAACATAGTGTAAGAGCCACGTCACGTCTACGTAACTTGTAAGAATTATCCACAACTGTCCACTTCTCGATAACAATCGTTTGCTTGTGAGTTAACGTTGCATCGTTACGTCGCCTTTAAGGAGAACGTGACGGCAGAGGATAGAGGAGAGAGAAGTGTGACGCCGTTCACGGAGGGAGACGTGTTTCTCTACAACCGTCCGCCGGCGTCCGGACAGCAAGGTGAGATGCACAAACACACATCCTTTACTTTACTTTACCTTACTTAATTTACTTTACTTTATTTTACTTTACTTTCCTTTACTTTACTTTACATTATTTTACTTTACTTTACTTCGCGCGCTGACACGGCACGGCGTGTCTTACGTAAATAATTACGTAGATTAATGAATATGTAAACAAATTTATAAATTAAATTGGGAAATATTTGGTGTAAATGTATAATAAAATTATGTTATTTAATATAAATGTACAATTTTAAAATCATTTAAATTTTTATAAGAGTCAAACCTGTGTTAGATGTCACATTATGTATCATGTGTGACAGAACAGACATCTATCTATAGGTGACACTTGTCATTTCCCTGTAGTAATCATTGTATACTGGTTTGATGTTATAAATATGTAAATTTCTACCTGGAAGTGGTGTTCGGGTCGGTTGTCGACATATTTGGGCGTGTGTAGGAACTGCATGAGGTTCTGGCGCAGGTAGTGTGACACGGCCTGCAGGTAGGGTATGGCGTGTGTGAGCAGCGTGAACTGTATCACGCGGCTAGGCGGCTCCCCAGGCTTCTGTATGAACTGCAACATACGACACGACACGATGATGAATGAGTGTAAGAATAAAATAAATAAAAACATAAATAAACAAATAAATAAATAAAATAGCAATGCATTGGGTTGCACAAAGACATCATACACATATTTAAATAAATAAATAAATTAATTAATAAAACAGCTAACGCATAGGGTCGCATGATGACATACAAATATTTCAAAAAATTAATTAATTAATAACCGACAAACTAACGACGTGAACTATCGGCGGTACCTGCACGTCCTCGGGCGTGAGCTTGTGCATCGGGTTTCGCGAGAACATGACGGTGACCATGTCTAGTACGGCTTCGTCCAGCCGGTTCTGCAGCACCTGCACCAGCTCCTCCCTGATCTCCGGCCCCGGATCCGCCACCCCGTGAACGCACAGCGCCACGCAGTCGTCCGGCAGACTAGACTTAGACGGGCGCCCGCACAACGACCACGACTCCTGGTGGGAGGGAGGAGCGGCAGTTAATTGTCGATGTTGCCGCGGTTACGTGAAGCGCAGATGTGTGTGATGGGAGGGGGGGGGGGTCACCTAGTTATTTTCTATTGGATCTCCAAGAGTCTAACTCGGACATGTCTAGTAATCTATCTATACTAATAACTATAATTCTGGACTAATTTAGATTAATTATAGAGTGATGCCATGAACCAAAGTATGCTAGTAGTATATTGGTTCATGCTATTAGTCCTTGTGCTAGAGGTCCTAAAAACCACACGACTGGAATTTGTTCTGCAATGAAACCTCACTAAGCACCGCTTACTCATGAAACGTGTAATTATACATAAAATGTCAGACTACGTCAGACAAAACGTCACATAGATTACGACTCGGTCACGCGATGATTGCTGGGTTCGCTACCACGGCAACCATCCATCCTTACCTCGTCATCAGCATCCCGCTTCTGCAGACTCAGCTGAGAGGAGCATCTCGACTCTGCTAACAGGAAAAGAAAAAAAATCAACGTTAAAGAAAGATTTGTTATCATGGTTGGATGACATGATTTGACTGTGGATTCATTCAATTTTGCATTAATTTTTTTTAATTGAATTAATTTTTTTGATTAAATTGTAATTAATAATCCCACGTTTATCGGTTGTGATTTCGTCTCCGTATATTATGTATACATGATGAGAATAAGTGGCTTGGTACTTGCCGAGATAGTTGCTGTACTCCTCACTGTTGCGCGTTCCATCGTCTGCGCCGAACATATGGCTCTGAGAAACATCGTCAAGCCTGCAACGTGTACATGTAATAATATATAATGCCATCGTATGATATATCGTACGTATCGTATAATATGACATAAGTGATAAGACATAATTAAGAACCTGTTTTAGCCTAAAATTTGAAACAGGTTCTTATTTGATCAAATTCAGTTAACACTAAATCAACTATAACAAAAAAGAAATAAGATAACCTAGAATATCATTTGTATTTGTCTAGATTCAGGTTGCAGTCATTTTAGACATAATTTATATGCATATTTTATATAAACAATAGACGGTAGCAATTCTACCAGCAACAAGCACCTTTTTTCTTACGAAAATAAGAACCTATTTAAGAACCTAAAAGCCTAATTTCCAAGTAAACACCAATTATATAAGAACCATTTTAGGCTAACTTAGAAAAATCAAGGATATACACAACACATTGTGTTATGTATATCCTTGTCTGGAAAAAT